GTTGCACAATTGTATTGTAAGAAGGCAAATCATTATCACTATCACTCTCACTAGAGGATGAGCTTTTGTTACCTCGTGCCATAAGGCACACACGAGAAGAGCTTGATGATGAGTGCTTATGACCTCGCCTCTTGTGATGGTTTTCTTCTTCACTTGAAGAATCATCCCATGACCTTATTGTTGTGAGGGCTTTGTTTTTGCACGCCTTCTTCTTTGTCTTGGGTGTGGGCTTGTTTGGACAAACTTCCACAAAGTGCCCCATCTCGCCGCATCCGTAGCATCCTCTCTTTCTTTGCTCATTTCTTTGATTGGTGAAAATGAGATCTTGAATTTGGATGGGCACACCCTTGACATTGAGCCTTTGGATCATCTTCTCCACCTTGTTGATTAATTTGATTGATTCTTCATCAAGGTCGGAGGTGGAGGAGGAAGATTGATCATCATCACTTGATTCTTGTTCATCATCATCATCATCATCTTCTTCTTCTTCACTTGAGGAGCTTGAGCTTGAGCTTGACTCAACTTTCTTGTCCTTCATCTTTTTCTTTTCGCTACAAGCGAGAGCTTTGCCTTTGCTTGATGAAGATGCTTCTCCTTGACCCATCTTACGTGACATTTCAAATGCCACTAGCTTGCCAATGACAATGCCCGGGGTTATGGTGCTCAAGTTCTCCATGTTGTGAAGGATGGTGATGATGCTTGCATATTTCTTTTGTGGTAGAACGGAGATGATCTTCCTCACGATGTCCGCATCATCTAGCTTTAATAATCCTATTGAATGGAGCTCATTGATAATTAGATTCAATCGAGAATACATATCACGAACAAGCTCATCATAATTCATAGCAAAGGAATCATAATTTTGCTTAGCTAGACAATGTTTTTGCTCACGGACATTACTTGTACCGTCATGGAGCTCTTGAAGTTTTAACCAAATTTCATGTGCCGTATTTAAGGTGAACACTTGGTTAAACACATCCATGCTAAATGATTCAAACAAGCAATTCTTAGCTCTAGCATTAAAATGCATTTCTTTTTCATCACTCTTTGTGGGTTTTTCGGGATTCTTGATGGGTTTCATCCCGTCACGAGTGACTCTCCATACACCCAAATCAACCGCCTCAAGGTGGCAAGCCATTCTAGCTTTATAGTATGGGAAGTTAGTGCCGTCAAATTGTGGAGGCCTAGCGGTATCCATCCCGACCACTCTACAATAGCGTCGGCTCAACGGCGGTTAAGCCAAAGGTCCAAATATGAGCCAACCGGCTCTGATACCACTTGAAGGACACGTGGACGCCTAAGAGGGGGGTGAATTAGGCAACTTAAAAATCTAACTCTAAGCTATGGCCCCTTTTTCTACCTCTAGCAAAACCTATGCAAAAGATAATCTATCTAGATGTGCAACTATGGTTTTGCTAGTGTGTTGCTATCTCTAGCGCAAATGATAATAATATGATCAATGTAAATGCGGAAGCTAAAGAGCAAGGTAGAGATATGCAAACTCCCGTCGACGACTCCGGTATTTTTACCGAGGTATCGAGAAGCGCGCAAGCTTCCCCCTAGTCCTCGTTGGAGCCCCTCGCAAGGAATCCCTCGCAAGGGCCAAGCTCCCGGTCGGGTAACTCCGTGGATAGCCTCGGGTCTTCCCCACGCGCAAGTGGGTCTCCGATGTGCCTCTCGGCAAGCCTCTCCCGGATGCTCCCCGCCGTCTTCACTATCAAGCTTTCGGCCGAAACGCCGCGGGCCTTGTTCCCTCCGGTACACGGTGACGGCCACACCACAAACGCGGTTGGTGTGATCTCGCAAGACTTCAAGCCCCTCCGATGTACAACACTTGTGCTCACAAGCACGGGGTGGCAAGAGGTATGCAAACCTCACTTAAACACTAGGCAAACACCTAGAGCAAGCGCATAAGCGGTGGTCTAATCAACCTAAGCACGCCATAAAGCACTTATGCTAATCACCTAATAAAACACTAAGCACTATGCATGTGGAGATCACTCAAATGGTGTATCAACACTCTTGATATGTTTCCTCGGCTCCACACTTCTCAAATGGCGGTTGGGGTTGTATTTATAAGCCCCATCGAGAAAGTAGCCGTTGGGGTCGAACTCCCGCAAATGCCATCATCGACCGAACGCCGAATCGTCTGACCGACGGACGCGTCCGTGGTCCCGACCGTTGTAGCCGCGAACTACCGATCGGACGCTTTGCGGCGTCCGTCGCTTCGCCACGGACGCGTCCGGTCGTAGTTTCGCGCTGGAACTCTCTCTACTTACTTTCGATCGGACGCTGCGTTCCTGCGTCCGGTCGGTTTGCCGCCAGCGTCCGGTCCTTGCGTCCGGTCGCTTGTCTCGCGAAAACCACCGGTCCAGCGTCGGTCAAGGCGCTTCCGGCGTCCGGTCCGGCGTCCGATCGGCTCTATGAGCTTCGCTTCTTCACGATCTTGCGCACGGCTTGGTTCCTATCTTCATGCTTGGACTTTGCTTGACATCTTGGGTCTTTTCTTGTGCTTCTAAGGTCTTGCTTGAGGTGTTGATCATCAGATCATCATGTCGCCTTCGTCCAAGTCACGTCTTGCACCCTATTGGACTATAAAACAAACACTTGCAAATTCATTAGTCTAATTTGGTTGTGTTGGTCATCAGACACCAAAATCCAAAGTAAATGGGCCAAGGGTCCATTTTCCTTACAGCGTGGTCAAGTGAGAGTTCGTGCTTGTTACTCTTGGTGATCGCCATCACCTAGACGACTTGGTGGTGATTGGGAGCTTGGTGATCACCCGACGGAGCTTGTGGGTGACCCAACTCAAGTTGTGAGCGGCTTGGGTGATTCGCCGCGACGGAGTGTCGAAGAATTAACCCGTAGAGAGCACTTGATCCTTGCGTGGATCAAGGGGGAGCTACACCCTTGCGCGGGTGCTCCAACGAGGACTAGTGGGGAGTGGCGACTCTCCGATAGCTCGGCAAAACATCGCCGCGTTCATTTCTCTCTCCATTTACTTTGAGCATTTACTTTAAGTATTTACTTTGAGTAATTCAATACTTGTCTTTACATTCATAGAATTGCTATGCTAGAGTAAGTTCGGAACATATGTTGTAAGTCTTTTGTGCGTTAATTTGATAGAAACACTTTTCTAGGCACAAGGGGTTAATTGGGCTATCCGTAGGATTTGATTATTGAAAGAGAATTTAAAATTAGCCCAATTCACCTCTCTCTTGGTCATCTTGATCCTTTCACTGATGTACAAAATCATCCTCATGGATGCTCAGTAGTATCCTCATGCTGATTTGACATTCATCTGCTGCACGAATTTTAATGCAGTATTTAATTCAGTTCCTACCAGTTTGATGGCCATTTGCACTCGATTATGTGTGCGTGCAACTGGTTTTCTCAGATTCTCCTGCCATTACTTCATAGACCTACTTATAGCTGTGTTTGCTCTGTATTGCACTAGACCCTCTTATTGGGTTTACTTTTCAGCCTGTATATGTACAACGTGAACGCCAATGCAGTCGGCTAACTTGGACTGTCCACTATCCAAATTATGCATGTCTATTTAGTGTAGAGACTAATTTCTTTGCCCTTGCCGTGTAGCGATGAAGCAGTATTTTCCTACCGATTCAGTCATCACCTAGGATTCCGAAATGATCTGTTGTTTTGGCGAGAGCCTTTTTTTTACATTTTACTTTACATTTCAATTCATGCATCTATGGCATTTAGGGCCTGTTTAGATCCCTTCCCATTTGAAAAATAAATACTGTAGCACTTTCGTTTGTATTTGACAAAAATTATCCAATTATGGACTATTTAGGCTTAAAAGATTCGTCTCGCCAATTACGAGCAAACTGTGCAATTAGTTATTCTTTTTATCTACATTTAATGCTCCATGCATGTGCCGCAAGATTCGATGTGACGGAGAATCTTGGAAAATTTTGGATTTTAGGTGGGATCTAAACAGGGCCTTATTTCTGCTCGTGTTAACCTCTTCAACCATGTCAGGTTACTGCCTGTTTTTAGACAGCTTTTACTTGCCTTCTCAATGCACACATCATGCCTCCAGGATCTGGTAAATTTCCGAATTCTCAAACTGAATCTCCTTATCTTATGCCTCGCAAACCACAGAGAGCTAACAAAAGCAAATCTGCATACAGATTTATCCACCTGGGAAGCTTCTGTCTCCACGGACAGTAACCTCTGAGACCGAGAAGCGAGATGCTAACAAGGTCATCACCGAGTGCTTGACCTACACTGTTTAATTACCTGGACCTGTCACTGTGTGTATAAACTATGTGTCATCATATCATCACTGCCGTTGCTACCTAGCATGAACCCTAATGTATAAAGCTTGCAAGTGTTGTCAACTGTTATGTTAGCTCTACAGACCGGACATGTGCATCTAAGGTGGACCATTACCGCGCTTATCACATCTGTCTATGTAAAATATATATACATACTATTCTCGGACTACGACTCTGAGTATTTGTCATATCAGTTGCTAAAGATTAGATGATTATTCAATCCTACGCTGCATCTTTGGTTGGATAATCGACTCGCGCAAAGGCGCGCGTGATGGACCAGTGAGTATGATGTTGACCGACGAAAACTGGATGTCAAGCATAAATCGTGTTTGATCAAACGACGGGAACACGTCGACCTCGTCAAGTCGTCATGCACATAAGCATACGCCACATCAGATATGGTGAAAGCAGTGCAATCATGAAAGCTTCATGAAGCAAAACTACGGATTGCGGAGCCAAGTACACTAACAAAACTTGCTTCCATCCACAAAAATATACAGCTAAAAAAGGCGCAAATCGCACGCTAGCCGAGCACGGTGCACGCCCAACTCAAATATTACTATACTACTACAGTACAACACTGGCAACACAACGGATTAGTACGTCTTCAGTGTAAGTGTTTACTTACATCAAGACGGATTAGCTAGATGATCACAATCAACTTACTGGTGTAAATATTGGTATGTACGGTGGAACGACCTATGATTGTTTTGCTGTAAGTGCTGTGTTCTGGTGAGACGATGAACATGCAGCATCAGAACCAGCTGATCTCCTCGGCATCCTGAGCTTCCTGAAGCTATCGTGGCATGGAGCAAAGAATTCATGCCTGAGCGCGTCCTCTGATGAGGGCCTGCACCTGGGGTTGACGGCCAAACATTTGTCCACAAGATTAAAAAAGGAGTTAGGTATCATCTCGAGTAAATCTGGCCTGCGTGTGTTGGCTGCACACCACTCCCTTAGATCCACCGAGCACAACGGAAATTTGACATCAAAGAGATCCTGAAAACAAAGAGGAATCTATTATGAATCATTCAGCAGGCTCTTTGAAGGATGTCAGAACTTGCGTTGAGAATTAGCATACGGATGGGTACGAAGATTCACAGTTGTGCAATTTCGCTACTTCCCATAGTTCTTCACTGCCTTTCAGCTTCGCTATTTCCTTGATATTCCTTTTATCAGACAAATTCAACATTTTAGCAACATTCTTCAGTGAGAAATTGAGGACACACAACACTGTAATGTACAAGTCAACTCACTGTTCAGGATCTCCACCAAAAGGCGTTCTGCCAATTATCAAGTACAAGAGTGTCACGCCAGCCGACCAGACATCAACTTTACAACCCTGGTGGAAGGACCTAAGGAGAACCTATACAAAAAACATCACTTCAGTATATGCAACTTCAAGGATGAAATACTCTTCGCACAGCAGAAATCATAATCAAACCTCTGGAGCCCGGAATCCTTTAGTTCCAACACATGGACCTTCTCTTCGATGTTTTCCATGTCCTGCACTGCCAATTAGTTAGATCATCTAATATCTAAGGATGTTCCACTGACTGGCAACTAGCAATGAAGCGCAATAAACAGTTACTGGGAAAACCCACCTTTGTTGTTGAACATGCCAGAACCAGCAACAGCACTACCACCAGAACGCAGGGGCATTGGCGTCAGTATAAAGAGCTTTTGATCCACACTACTCAAAGGGGCAGCAACCCTCTTCCTGTGGGAAATAGGAGTAGGCATAGTACTTTTCTTTGGACTTTGCATTGTTTCATGTAAGAAGTTCATTAGTTCTTTTCGCCCTTTGTAAGGCATTGGCTGCTTTAACCTATCTAATGATGTTTTAGTGCTTGTAGGATCCTTCGCAGATGTTACACCAGATACATCTGCAGCTTGGTTACCATGCCTACTTTTATTGTCAATCTTAGGTGCATGTGCATTATCCACTGGGCTTCTACTAGATCTTTTCCTCTTCAAAGGAAGAGGTTGCTTTGAATCAGCAGCTGGTTCTTTGGCATGAACTACTGGGGCAATAGTTGATAGAGTTTGAGATGTGGTATCCTTCCCACTTGAAGTTGCATCAGATTTACCTAATCAAATAAACAAAAAATTCATTTGCATCAGTCAGGCACAGGACACAAGAATAGATATGCAGTAATTTGAAAGTTCAAAATCAATAAGCATTTCCTAGCATTCTATTAAGTAATATAACTTCCACAGTCAGATAGTGACCATTAACGACTACTCACTACAGTACATAAGTAGGGATGCAAGTGGGTACCCAATGGTGTTTTCTGGGTCACCTAACTAATTACGGTCAAATGCCATTCTAGTTCATTTTTCCACCTTCCTCAAACTACGGAAAGGCCACTCTAGTTCATTTGATCAATTTTTTGGGTCAACCCAATGACCCAAAATAGTTTGAACTTGCATCCCTGTACATAATGTTGATAATTTTCAGTAGCTCTGGTTCAGTCATTATGCCAAGGAGCATGTAGCATGTAGGTGTTCAAGCTAATGAAATTCATCACCCTATCAGGATCATCATTATGACAATGCTTTTTCAACAAAAAGTTTGATCTGATCCAGTGGATCCAGCTCTGGGACTGAACTATTGATTATATTTGAATTCAATATTTCAATTCAATGCTCTTTTATGCCAACATGATGACAAATGTTCCAAATTTATTGTTTTTTCTAGGATTGAGTAATAGCATGGAAAATATTATGAACTGTATTCAGTGCATGGAATCAAAAACTGGGACAATAAGGTATTCTGACAGAAAACAATGAGAAGAAATTCACTATCAAACACCAATTAATTATTCAAATGTAGGAAGTGAACTTACAGTTTTTCAAGAACTTTTGGTGGAGATCCTGCATGTGAGGTCAGGAAAACACACAATGTCAGAATTTCAGTCTCACTTAGCATCAATACTAGACTTCAAGCAGGAAGAACAGTACGCGCACTAACATTTGCCAGGTTAAAGTCAATAAGATACCCCTTTTTCTGTTTGCGACAGAAAAGGAAGTTTCCAGGTTTGACATCTCTATGCACTACCCCCTGGAGACAGGAATACCAGTTATCAGATACCCAGGATTAGCAGTAAGCAACAAAAATCAAAAGTTTAGGGTAGCATGCAGTTATACAAACCTGTCTATGTAAGCCTGCAAGAGCTCTGAAAAGACAGTGCCCATACCACCGCAGCTCAAGCAAGGTTATGTCCTTTTTCAAAATCTGGGATATAAAGAAATACTTTAAAAACGGATGAATAGATATGGATGCTTAATAGGACAGCTTCAGAGCTAGTAGATTAGAAAACACTAAACCTCTGGTCTGTCATGCTCAACATGTTCTAGAACAAAACAGTCTAGGTCACCACTTTTCAAAGAGCATTCATATTTAATCACACAATTTTTGCCTCTGCACAGGAAATCATGGCAATCGCATTAAGGTTACTATGGATAACAAGAACTCATAAAGTTTTAGGGAGAGGGCCAGGTAATTAGTACCCAAAACGCTGCAGCATCTTTAGTTCATTGTTAACATGATGTGAATGAGCATTTGGGTGAGGACCTGTTAGCATAAACATACATAGTTAATTCCTTCCTCACAAAAGCCTTCAAAAAAAAAGGAGAAACGAATACATGAAAATTGGTGGTTTGGTGTTCATACATTTTATAGCGAATGTCTTTCCATCTTTTGTCCTCTGAGCCCTATAAACAGTCCCATAACCTCCTGAAACAATGAACATCACCTCTTGGTCAGCATTTAGAAAAGAAAAAACTAAATGATAGTTCTGAAAGAAATATAGAGGATTCTTACCAGACCCTTCCTCCTCTTCCATGACAAAACCCTTGAAGGCAGGAAGTGGTTTTGGTGCTACATGACCCTGAAAACAATGGCAGCAGAATGACAACAGATTACATAAAAATGTCAATAAATAAAATCTTGTAAACAAGGCTGGGATAGGTACAAGACATCAGTGATGCATACAAGAAGTTACTAATCATGAAGTAATCAGTAAAACTAACCTTTTGAGTCTTTGCTGTGTGGTCCTTATCTTCTTTTGGCTGTTCATTTTTCTTGCACTTCTCCTTTTGCTTCACAGCCAATTTATCCCGCCCATTCTTAGATACATTGACCTCCACCTTGTTCAAGGACTGCTCTCCATGATTTAGATATCTGATGTCTCTATTTTCAGAAGCAATATTCAGGTTCTTCATGTTCATGCCATCTTGCCTTGTAGTTTCTTGCGGTAATGTTTCAGATTGAACATTTCTGTTCATTTGAGGTGCTATAGATCCAGCTTTGTTGTCCATAGAAGGCTGGAACAAAATTTGCGTTGTCTTATCCGTGAAAACTTCTGCATATGCACTAGCATCAAGTGGATTTTTTTCCTGAACACAACTTGGGGCATTCTGATGATGGCCATCATTTAGGCAATTGTATTGTAGACCATCTGCTTGGTTGAGAATCATATCAAATGCTTCAATACTATCAGCTGTTTTTGTATTATGATTAATCAGACTGCCATGATTTTTGCAAACAAGATTTAGATCTTCATCAGCCCTATTTTTGCTTTCTCCAACTAAAACATCATGACTGGCCATGGGAAGGACAGACTCTTTTTGTATATCATCACTATCCTCTACTCTACAGTTAAGTAAGGAAACTTGTTCAGATTCACTAATCTTGTTACTTTTACCATCAACTTCCACATTAGTGCTTTTTGATTTCTCAGCATCCAGTGGAGGAAGATTGACAGAACAAGGGCAATCTGAAAAACCTGTTGGCACCAGTGCTAAAGACATGTTCCCAATAACTGTGCCATCATCACCTCTAAGAGGATGGTCAAGTTTGGGCTGAAGACAAAGCATGGTAATTTTAGCAATATTGGGAGCAAGAGTAACCACAGTTGAGAACCCCAAGGAAGGTTCACCGAGAAATGTGCCGAGAGTGGGAAGCCTATCCTTCAACTTTTGCATAACCTCCAAATGTACCTGAGTCAGATATGACAAAACATGTTGGATGTGAACAAACTATTATAGATGTGAAAATACTGCACAGAAATTTTATCATCATTATCCTTGTTAAAATGTGTGTCCCAATTAGTATTTAAGCTTACAGCTACAAATTTCAACTCAACTAATGTCAACCAAAACCAGAAAGAAAATGATGCCTTGAAGATTGAGAGGCCAAAAATTCACTTCAAGCTATCACCCATGTCATTTACTCTACTGATGGACCACGCCACTCCGAAATTGTGACGGCCTACTGATGAAAACCAGTAAGCACTATGGGACAGAGCCAAATATCCCTAATATTTTGTGCAGATGGCCTATAAAAGGAAACAAAATGAAAGGATTTCAAATGCCCAATCAAACTAACTACAAGCAAATGAAAGCAGATAGGGCTAGATTAGCAATCTGTTGGGGATTTGGATCTTCGAGATCTTTGATTTAGGACATGCTAATGGAATAACAATCATACAACAGGGATGAGACATCGTACCTCTCCAGTAGCAACCGTCCCAACCGTAGTACAGGTCTGTGCAACCAGCTGACACGACTGATGCTCCGTTTGGTCCACCAAATCTGCATAAATGTTCCCGAAATGAGCTCAGAAAAAACGGATAGCCCTCGAGAACCAGCATACATACAGCACGGAAAAGTGAATCTCCTCTCTAAGAAATTAAACTACCTGCGTCCGGTGCCGGTAGTCGGCGCCTCTTCGCGCTGAAGCACCTTGCATCCGACCCTTGCCGCTTACGCTCATACGTAATCGACACCTTCCCCAAGCACCGCCTCACCTCCGAAGGTCTCAGGCTCACCTTAGGCCCCGGGATATCCCACCCCATGAACCTCAGAAACGCCAGGACGGCTGTCTCGGAGGGCGTCACGACGCCGTCGTCAGAGATCCATAGTGGCGACCTAGGTAAGCAACACATCTGCTCGACGACGCGCGTCGAGATGGAGGGCGCTGCGGCGGCGGCGAGTTCCGAGGGGGCGGCGGGGCGGCCGAGGCGGATGAGCACGGTGAGGAGGTGCCAGGCCTGCTCCACCTCGGCCGAGGAACCCCCGCCGAAGTCCATCGTAGAGGGCGAGGCGCGTGGATCTGATTGGCTAGGCATGGAATGGAGGCGGAGGCCGGCGAGGTTTGGCTTGGAGCTGTGTTCTTCTCTCGCTTGCGTCTTCTGTTCCACAAGTGGGAATATGCTTTTGCGATTTGGTCCTCAGAGTTATTGAGTTTTGTGGATCGGAGGGCAACGGGAGGCGGGAAAAATTTGTGCGAAAGTGGAGTTTTGGGAGCGGCGGATGCCAGTGCGGTGCGAACGCGTGCCGTTTCCCGCCCGAGCTTTCCATCTCGGGCTCGTAATTGCTACGGCCCCACACAGCTAGTGTACACACAACACAACTCCAGCGGGCGAACGCTATCGAGGCGCTTATGGAACCCACATGACTATCAGCCTGTTCGTTTTTTGGTTTCAGCCAGCCCAAACTAGCCAGCCAATAGTGTTTTTCTCTTAAAAAAACCAACACCAGCCAACCTAAACCAGTACCAGCACCAACCAGCGAACAGGCCCTCTGAATAAAGCGCTTACGCATGGGACCCATACGACTCTGATCGGTAAAATGTGTCTATTATCTTAGCCAACCCTTGCAATTGCAAGCTTGCAATTGCAGTCCCTCTCAGAAAAAGTCTACAACACCCCCCAAGGTTTGGCACCCTGGTTAATCCACCCCCTGAGGTTTAAAACCGTCTAATATACACCATAAACTTTCTTAAACCGTTTAACTAACCCCCTAGGTGGTATTTTGGGTGGTTTTGGGGCTGTTGTGCTCAGCTGACAATCCACCGTGGCAGAGGAGGACCCCTGTAGCAAAAAAAATCCAATCCCCAACTCTTGCCCTCTCCCCGCCCGCACGCAAACAGGCCGCGGCCTTCACGCCGCGTCGGGCTCCGCTCGAAGTCGAGCGTCGCCTCGCCACCAGGCGCGCCGCGCTTCACCTCCACGCCGCGCCGGCCTCCGCTCCAAGTCGCCGCCTCGCCTCCAAGCCGCGATGGGCTCCGCTTCCAAGCCGGGTGCCGCCGCATCGGCCTCGCGTCCAGTCCGCGCCGGTGCCACCTCGCCTCCAGTCCGCGCCGTTGCCACCTCGTCTGCAGTCCGCGCCAGTGCCGCCTCGCCTCCAGTCAGCGCCGGTGCCGCATCGCCTCCAGGCCACGCGGGGCGCAGTCTCCGCCTCCACATCGGGCCGCATCAAGCCAGGCGCCACCTTCACCTCGTTGGTCAGGTGAGGCCACTCATACTCCTCCCCAATCAATAAGAAAGATTTTCAGTTCCAATCCTGGAGCTTTAAGTATCTTGCAATGATTCAAAGATACACACATTTGTTCATATTGACAACATATCTTAGTTCTGAGTTTAATGCATGCGTGCCCATGTTGGTGTGGTGGTACTGGCACCAACTGATGAGAAGCAATGCAATGAAAGAAAGAGTAGAGCGTTTCAACAAATTAATTTTGTGTGTTTGAGCGTATGGATGGCCTTGCGCTAGGTAGTGGAACTTCTAAACCATCCAGGCTGCCTGTTACTGAAACTAAATGTCTACAATTTCATGTTGCAACTAGATTGTTTTTTTACTGCCTTTTTTAAGAAATAGCAATTGTATTGCTCAAAGATGCCGCATTGTTGTTCATCAGAACTACAAAGTAACACTAGCATTAGAAATTGGCAACCTAAACATTTTCTGCAAGCAAAAGATGGTGATACATTTTCCAAAAAAACACCAGAAGATGATAATGTTGTTTGCAAGCAGTACTTGAGCCAAAGATGATACAATCCTTCGGATGACCACATCTTGCCTATGCTGCCTTATATGCTAACAAACAGGATGGACAACAGTGATACTCTTGCTGTTCGGTTCCACTTTGGTGGGTCTTTCTAGAGCATTGATGGGCTCATCTTGTACGTTAGCGGAGACATTGGTATGAGTTACATAGAACTCGACAAGATTTCGCTACCTGAGATCAAAGGGCACCTAGAGGATCACTTCAAAATTGATAATGTTGTCAGGATGCATTGGCTGAAACCGGGCAAAGAGCTGTCAAATGGGCTAGTGCTACTAGTTGATGATGCGTCATGTCAGCTGATGGCGAATGGCACAAGCTATGCTGAAATTGTAGATATTTATGCTGAGGAATTAGGAGTTCAGAAAATGCAGCAGTGGTTTGTTAATGAAGAAGAGCAATGTGCTCATGGTGATGAAGAGTGGTTGTATAATTCTCATGAAATTACAGCAGTAGAAGAAGATGGCAGTGATCAGGAACAAGAAGAAGCAGGAGAGGAAGAATGTTACAGTATTGGAGAAGAATACAATGTAGTTGAATCAGATGACTCCTCAGATGAAGATTGCAAGCAACCTATAGATGAGGACAGTTCTGCGGATGTTGAAGAAGCAGTACAATTGAGGAAGTTTGCTAAGGAAATCAGGAGGAACATCAAGGCTAAGAAAGTTGGTCTGCATGGTAGTCAGCTTGGAGAAATCACAGAGAAAGCTTTGGTGATGGTTGAAGAAGAAGAACCAATAAACTTCGAAGACCCAGGCAGTCCATATTGTGATTCAAGTGAGGAGTACTCATATGAGGAAAACAGTGAAGGAGAAACTGATAGGTGGAAGAGTCAGGAGAACAGGTATGATAACAAAGCACCAGTGCCTGTGTTTGCTCTTGGGATGGCTTTTAGGTGCATTAGACAGTTCAAGAAAGCATTAGTAAAGTATGGGTTGAAGACACATAGGCATCTGAATTTCATCAAGGATGAGAAATCAAAGGTAAGGGCTATCTGTAGTTGGGAAGGTTGCAACTGGCTTATATATGGATCAAAGACTAATAGGTCAGAATGGTTCAAGGTTGTCACATTTCATGATGACCACACCTGCCCACCCAGGAGGGACAACAAATTGGTGACTTCCACAAGGATTGTGAAACACTACTACAAGCAGATAAAGGATAACCCAACTTGAAAGGTGGGTCTTATCAAGCAAGCTGTGCTCAAAGACTTTCTAGCTGATGTGTCCATATCCAAGTGCAAGAGGGCCAAGTCTTTAGTGCTCAATGATGCATTGGATGGTATGAAGGGTGAGTACACAAGGGTGTATGACTACCAAGCTGAGTTACTAAGGAGCAACCCAGGTTCAACAATAGTTGTGTGCCTTAATGCAGAATTTGAAGACAGAAAAGTATTCGAAAGATTTTATTGTTGTTTTGATGCTTGTAAGAAGGGCTTCCTAGCTGGTTGCAGGAGTCATTGGTTTGGATGGTTGCTGGTTCAAGGGTGCTAACAATGGACAGCTACTGTGTGCTGTTGGTAGAGATGCCAATAATCAAATGTACCCTATTGCACGGGCTGCAGTTGCCACAGAAACTTATGATAGCTGGTACTGGTTCCTTGGGTTGCTACAGAAGGATCTAAACATCAGTAATGGAGGTGAAGCTTGGGTTATCATATCTGACCAACAAAAGGTACAGCTACTAATAATTTGGTACATCTATTAATAATTTGGTACACCAACTAATAATTTGGCATATGTACTAATAATTTCGCACATCTGTAGGGACTATTAAAGGCAGTGCAAGAGCTCATTCCTAATGCTGAGCACAGAATGTGTGCAAGGCATATATATGCAAACTGGAGGAAAAAATATACTGACAAGAAGTTGCAGAAGAAGTGGTGGAGGTGTGCCAAGTCCCCTTGTAGAGTACTCTTCAACTTCAATAGGGCTCTGCTTGCACAAGACACTCCAGTGGGAGCAAAGGATATGATGAATACTTCACCTAAGCATTGGAGTAGGGCTTTCTTTAGGCTTGGTTCCAACTGTGATTCAGTAGACAACATGTGTGAGAGCTTCAACAATTCCATTATGGATGCAAGATTTTATCCTGTGATATCCATGAATGAGGCAATTAGGAAGAAGGTAATGGTACGAATTCAGGAGAATAGGACCAAGGCAGAGAGATGGACTGGAACAGTCTGTCCTAACATTTTCAAGAAACTGAAGGTCAACATTGAAAGATCAGGAAAATGTGATGTATTATGGAATGGACAAGATGGATTTGAAGTACAGGAAAGGGAGGATAGGAGATACATTGTCAACCTGAATCAAAGATCATGCACTTGTAGGTACTGGCAGCTATCTGGATCACCTTGCTGCCATGCAATCAGCTGCATGTACAAGTCCTCTAGGAAGTTGGATGAGTTCATAGCACCATGTTTCTCAATATTAATGTTCAACAGAACTTATGCTCATGTGCTGCAACCAGTTGAAGGCCCTGGCAATTGGCCTATATCAGACATGCCAAAACCAGAACCACCAGCTTTTGTGAAGATGCCAGGGAGGCCAAAGACACAGAGAAAAAGAGAGGCAGGTGAAGAACCTAAAGGAAGCAAGCTAAGTAGGGTTGGCATCAAGGTGAGGTGTAGACTTTGCGACAAGTCTGGCCACAATTCTAGGAGCTGTCCAAAGAACCCTGAAGCTGGCAACAAACAAAATGCACACATCAAGAGGCAGAAGAAAAGAAAGCAAAGCACTACTGCTGTGCTACTACTAAGAGGCTGAAGACTACTTCTCGGATGGTAAGTGTTCATTTAATTACTTGCAATTATATTCCTGGCCACATTCTCATTTGTCAACCTTTATGTTACCTGAGTGTTACAACACCCTGCAGCTCATTTAATTACTTGCAATTACATTCCTGGCCACATTCTCATTTGTCAACCTTTATGTTACCTGAGTGGTACAACAGCCTGCAGAAAATACATCAACTAACCAAGCTAGACCAAGTCAAGCAACGTCAAGCTAGGCTCGAACAAGGGGAACAAGGGGAGGAAGCCAGGCTCCAATAAGGGGAAGGGGCAGAACCCAGGCTGCATCAAGGGGAGGAACCCATGCAGGTACAAGCCAAACAAGAGGGCGCCTGCAACACCTGCTGTTTGGGGACAACGAAAGCCTTGACTCATGTTAGATTGTGAATATGTAGGCCAAGCTTTTGTGCATACAAATGCCAAGCTTTTGTGCATAGGAATGACCGCAG